CTTTCATATTATGTGTCCATTATTTTATGGTTTTGACTTTTCAGGTTAATATACATGAATTTACTAATATCTTTCTATCATTGAAAATGTTAACCATTTTTCTCTGATACTTATTGCAAATATTTTTTCTTTAGAAGTTGTTTAACTTAAGTTTGGTCATGCCCTCTTTTGGATATATTGAATTATTTATACAGTCAAATCCATCAAGCTTTTCCTTGGTAATTTGTTCTCTGAGTCTGAAGTTCAGGAAATCGTCCCCTGCCCAGCGGTTATTAAGTATTTATTTCATCTTATAGACCTTAATGGCTTAATTGTCTCCCTACACTTTACTCTAGTTCATCTGGGGTTTATTTGGGTTTATAATGTAAGATGAGCATCCAAATTTATATTTTACTCCCAAATGTTGTTGTTTTTAGGTGCCGTTAAGTCAGTACCAACTCATAGCAACCTTATACACAGCAGAACGAAACACTGCCCCATCCTGGGCCAACCTCACTATTGTTGCCATGCCTGAGTCCATCGATGCTGCCACCTGGCCAATCCATCTCGTTGGGGGTCTTCCTCTTTTTCTCTGACCCTCCACCCTACCAAACATGATATCCTTCTCCAATGACTAGTCCCTCCTGACAATATGTCTGAAGTATGAGAGATGAAGTTTGGCCATCCTGGCCTCCCAGGAGCACTCTGGCTGCACTTCTTCCAAAACGAATCTGTTGGTTCTTTTGGCAGTCCGTGGCACTTTCAATATTCTCCTCCAACACCATAACTCAAATGCATCAATTCTTCTACAGTCTTCCCTATTTACTGTCCAGCTTTCATATGAGGTTATTGAAAATACTATGGCTTGGGTCAGGTGCACCTTAGTCCTCAAGCTGACATCTTTGCTCTTCAACACTTTTAAAAGGTCTTGTGCAGCAGATTTGCCTAATGCAATACATTGTTTGATTTCTTGACTGCTGCTTCCATGAGTGTTGATAGTTGGTCCAAGAAGAATGAAGTCCTTGACAACTTCAATCTTTTCTCCGTTGATAAGAATGTTGTTTATTGATCCAGTGGTGAGGATTTTTGTTTTCTTGACATTGAGATGTAATCCATACTGAAGGCTGACTGATCTTCATCAGTAAATGTTTTAAGTCCTCTTCACTTTCAGCAAGCAAGGTTGTCTCATCTGCATATCGCAGGTTGTTAATGAGTCTTTCTCCAATCCTGATGCCATGTTTTTCTTCATATAACCCAGCTTCTCTCAAATGACTAAGATATAAATCCAATTGATGTAACTTTATACCACTATTCTGTGATGAATTCTTGTTTTTTTCCACTCTGTCTTTGGCTAACCATTGTGGAGCAATACTAATGTGACCATCTTCACTTCCAACACCAACTACATGCCCAGGGATTCCTACGATTACCCTTGCATTCAATAATTTGCTATAAAGACTCAAAGAATTCAGAAAAGCCATTATACTCTTGGTTATGGATTGTTACAATGATTTCCTGTTGGATTCTGTTCACTAGTATTTTGTTGACTATTTTTGAACTATGCTGATAAGGTATATCGGCTTATAGTTTTCTTTTCTTACAGTATTTTCTCTTGTTTTAGTATCAGGGTTATGCTTGCTTCATAGAATGAATTTGGGAATACAGCTGACCCTTGAACAACACAAGTTTGAATTGCATTGGTCCACTTTTACACATATTTTTTTTAAGCAAAAACAGAAACATCGTGTGATGCTAATTGTCTCCACGTGAGCAGTTCATCTCTTCAGCGAACTGTGTATCCAAATAAAAAGTGATCTCTTGAGGTCTTGTGTATTTTCTATCATGTCTGATGCAACACTGGAAACCTTAAATAGCACCAGGGGACCAATGGAAAGTACCACTATTAGTGTTGGGAATGGTTCCAAAAAACTGAGAAAGTCATGACATTACAAGAAAAAGTTGAACTTCTGGTAAGATGGCAGACTAGGCAGATGCACTACACCAAGGACCCTGTACAACAAAGATATGAGAGACCAAATAAAACAGACACAAATGGATATCCAGGAACCCTGAATGTCAGAAGGAAGGTTAGAGAAGTGGGTTGAGTGCTTGCTAGGAGGAGAAGCTGAGCAACATCCAGCAAGAGGGAGGTTAGCAGAGGAAAGACGAAGATAGCAGAAGACAGAAGGAAGAATGCAATAGCTAAAATGAATAGAGGTAAATACTGTTAACCGTTGATACATGGAGGAGGTTTCAATTATTATAATGAAGCAAAGTATATGATTTGTTGACTGTAAAACTGATAATCTGCTCTGTAAACCTTCACTCAATGAACAATAAATGGTTTAAACGAAAGAAAGAAAAAATGGAAGTGTCTGCAGGAGTGGTTGTCCACCATTTCAGGATAAATGAACCCAGTGTCAAAGATGATTGTAAAAAAGAAAAGGAAATGAGTGAAGACTTCACTGCAGCTACTCCAGCAGGTGCAAAAACCTACACCTTTTGGAAATCCCTTTTTAATCTTGTATTGAAAATGCAGCTATTAGGTGGATACAGTATTTAATACATATTATATATTAAGCGTGTGCTAGTCAACTGTTTAGCTTCTCAGTAAGGCTTCCAGTCTATAATTGGCTATTAGTAGTTACATTTTTGAGGAGTCAAAAGTTACATGTGGGTTTTCAACTGTGCAGGGGTTAGTGTCCCTAACCCCCTGTACTGTTCAAGGGTCAACTGTCTGTGTTCCTTCCTTCTCTGTCCTTTGGAAGAGCTTAATCAGGATTGCTGTCAATTAGTTATCTGCTCCAGGACTTGTGTTGTTGTGGTTGGAGGTTTGGGATTGCTAACTACATCTCTTTGCTTGGGCCGCGTCTGTTGAGATTTTCTGTTTCTTCTTGAGCCAGTTTGAGTAGGTTGTATGTTTCTAAGAATTTGTCCCTTTTACCTATGTTATCCATTTTGTTGCCATAGAGTTAGTTGTTCAATAATATTCTGTCATAATCTTCCATTATAATATCTGGGTTTTGTTTCTTATTTTGATCATTTCTACCTTTTCTCTGTTTTTCTTTGTTTGTCTAGCTAAAGATTTGTCCACTGTACTGATCTTTTCAAAGACCCAATTTCTGGTTTTGTTAATTCTATTGTGTTTCTGGTTTTTCATTTCAGTTATTTCTGTTCTGATCTTTGTTACTTCCTTCCTTCTGGTAGAATTAGGTTTAGTTTCTTCTTATTTTATTCCTCAAGTTGTAGGTCTGAGTTTTTGTTTTCTGATTTGTTTGTTTGTTTTGTAGAAATTTGTTGTTGTAAGTTTCCCTTCTAAGTACTGCCTTAACAATATCCTATACATTTTGGCATGTTGCGTTTTCATTTTCATTGACTCTAACAGATTTGTGGGTTCCCTTTAGCTTTCTTCTTTGGCTCATTGATTGTTCAATATTGTGTTCCTTAATTTCCATATATTTGTGGGTCTTCCAGGTTTATTTTTTTTCTGTTTATGATTTCTAGTTTTACTCTACTATGGTCAGAGAAAATACTTGGTGAGATTCAGTCTTCTAAAATGTATCAAATTTACTTTGTGACCTTGCATGTGGTCTATCCTGGAGAATGATCTATGTGCAGTAAAGTAGAGTTTATGAAATTAAGTCAGAAAGCAATTCTACTAGCGTACTAGTTCATAAATGCACAGATTTATTCCAAACCAAATATGTTTAAACATGACACTGTGGTTCATGAATGGTTGCAGACAAGTTCTTTCAGTAGTACTCTTGTCTTAGTCTCCTTTGTTGTTGTTGTTGTTAAGTGCCCTTGAGTCAGCTCCAACCCATAGTGACCCTGTTAGAGTTTCCGAGGAGCAGCTGGTGATCTTTAACTGCCTATCCTTGCAATTCAAATGGCTTTGCAGTCTGGCGCATTAACCCACAGTGTTATACACCAGGACTCCTTAGTCTCCTTAGGGTTCCATATAAATTTTAAAAAAAAGATTTTTTTTGTACCACATTGGGGGAAAACAATTTTTTAAAAATGTTCTATTGTGAATTGAGTGAAGGTTTACAAAACAGATCAGTTTTCCACTGACTTGTTCATACACATTTTGTTTCATCTCATTGATTACAGTTCCCACAATGTAACATCAGTTATCCCACTTCATCCATGTTTTTCCTGCTTCTGTTTCTCCTTCCTACTCACTCATCTATGCCAAGAAATTTGGAGGACAGCTCCCTGGCCAACTGACAGGGAACTACCAGAGGTTCAAGTTGAATTCAGACGAAGATATGGAACGAGGAATATCATTGCTGACATCAAATGGATCCTGGCTGAAAGCAGAGAATACCAGGAAGATGTTGACCTGTGCTTTATTGACTATGCAAAGGCTTTTGACTGCCTGGATCATGAAAAGCTATGGATAACATTGTGAAAAATGGCTATTCCAGAACACTAAACTGTGCTCATGAGGAACTTGTACATACACCAAGACGCATTTGAACAGAACAAAGGGACATTGAATGGTTTAAAATCAGGAGAAATATGTGCTAGAGTTGTATTCTTTCACCATACTTATTCAATCTATATGCTGAGCAAATAATCTGAGAAACGGAATTATATGAAAAAGAATGTGGCATCAGGATTGGAGGAAAACTCATTAACAACCTGCAATATGCAGATGATACAACCTGGCTTGCTGAAAGTAAAGAGGACTTAAAA